AAGTCATGAACACAATTCTACAAACCACTTGTCATGAATGGGGATGAAAAGCCAAGTATCTAATTACGAGTGCACTGCTTGGATTTTTTGGAGTTCTCCATCTTGTGATTGCACTCTATTTTAAATGTATGAGTGGAAGCAAATAGAAGTTTTAGGTTATTTATTCCTAGAAATTCGTCCGAAACTAGTTATCTTTTGCTACTATTATTTCCTCGCTGCTGCAATCATCATCAATTGATCCTCTACCAGTCAAGGACTAGTGCTATTTGACCGAGAACCATCTGTTATACTGCGGCTATTTAGAGTTACTTCCGTTGTATATGAGTACTATGGCACGCCATCAGTTGTGTAGATCAAATTACCAGAAATACATCTTCAGGTCACAAGTTGAATTCTTGGATTTATATATTCATTGCTGCTTTGCTCGACTGAGCTCATATTAAATTGCTCCCTGCCCTGAATATTCCTGGTTGATGCTACTTAAGTTATTTGTAGGAAGAGATTATTTTGAGGATGATAAAATTGAAGGGATCTAATTTATGCATATCGTGAAAGATCGCGTAAATATTTGGATATCATAAACGTGTCTTTATATACAAACTTATATACAATATGTTCACTGTTTTACTCATCAATTATAATCTGGTCTTGTTGCTACACCTAAAGAGATAATCATGATTAATATTTTGTTTAAACATCTTTTGCGTGAGGTGTCATGGCACAAACAAAATCTATATACTCTTATAAAGCTAAACCCCACTAGATGATTTTTCTCTTTATGTAAGGTATCCACATCATTCCCTATTAAGTGACTCCACTGGATGTTTTATCTCTTCATGTAAGGTGTCCACATCATTCCACTAAGTCCATGTCATCCTTTATTAATTACAAAAAAATATCCACGTCATCTCTATCATGTGCAATACTTTTAATCTTTAATCTATTACCCACTAGATGATTTTTCTCTTCATGCAAGGTGTTCACATCATTCCCTGCTAAATGACCCCCACTAGATGTTTTATCTTTTTATACAAGGTGTTCACATCATCCCCACTAAATCCATGTCATCCCTTATTAATTACAGAAAAATGTCTAAGTCATCCCTGTCATGTGCAATAATTTTAATCTTAATCTATTAACATACAAGTCATCTACATAAATTATTTGTTTCATCACCTATTCCTCAATAATGTAATTAAATATTCTATTGTTTTTTCTTTTGTTAGCGGTAACATCCCAAAAATCCAAATAAATAAATCATTGGAATTCAAAACTATTTTCAAAACCATTCCAAAAACTAATTCTCAATTGAGCTCTAATATATTCCTTGTTCGAATATTCTCCGATTCCAACTCTCACTATTCATCTTCTTCTTGATCCCCGGAGCACGCCCTCGGCACGCTCATACAGCAAGCCCGCGTAGCACGCTTGCAGTACCATTCACTGGCAAGCTTCGCCGTAGTGTCATTACTTCGCCGTGTCATGAATGGCGAGTTAGGCAGCAGCCTCTAGCGTGTTGCACATGCTCTTCAGCAAACGAAGATGACCGACCGCAGTAGCTCGTAGAAATTCGCGTGCCATCCATTAATGCCTTGCTATAGGGCTGCACGTTCTTACCCTGTGATAGCTGACCATCAGCCTGTTCGGCAGCCTGTATCTGGCTTATAAGCCTTGGCTTATCAGCCAACCAATAGTGTTTTTCTCTCACACCAAACCAGTCAGCAGTACTTTCAGTCATAACATATAAGCCAATCCAGCCGAAACGAATAGGCTGCATAATGTTCCTCTCTGCGCAAGTCTTCTTCTCCACAGGCTCAGCCCGCTGAGCACGCCACTCGCTCGCTACCCACGCAACACGTTCATGCACCAGCAGCACCTACACGTTAAGCCCAAAAAATACTCCTCAACTAGCCACGTGCATGCAAGTCCAAGTGTGACTAATTCAAATACTTTTTGTTTTCTCAAAAATGGATTAGCATCCAATATTAAGACCAGCAATATCTCCATTAATCTCGCGACGCGCCACTGTCCTCTCTTGTTGTTCTAATCACCCACGCCTTTACTTTGCTTACTAATCACCCTGCAAAATTATCAGCGCACGTCGCACTGCCGCTGCCATAGTGTGTCGCGCACGCGTTTTTCCCAGTGCCAGCTCCAACTCCAGCCCCGCGTCTCCTGCCTATAAAGGACACGCCGCACAACCCTCCCATCACACCGAGCTCCAGAGCTGCCCTCCGCTGCTCACCATCTTACTCCCCAAATCGAGTTCATGTGTTCTTGCCCGAGAAAGCTGCGCTCTGTCGAACTTTCTTCCTGAGCTGCAATCGTCTGAGGTAGCTAGCCTGCAAGAATTCCCTCATTCTCCAATATTTCCTTGACCCGTGGTCTCCACCTCCGTTAATTCCTTCACCTGCATAAATGAACCAGCACCCCCCTTCATCACGTTAAGGACCAAAGACTCACAGTCATGTGCTGGTCAACAAGTCCAATAGCATGATTAGCCTCCTCCAATAATGTCATTTTAATTTTTGGAATTAATTAAACATCCCTTCTTGCAGAACTCATATCTCCCTTATACGACCTCCGATTCACTCGATTCTTCTCCCTAGAGTCATCTAAAATCAAGATCTATCCATCCATACTATTTTCTTCTTTTCTAGAGCTCATTTGAATTTATTTAATTATTGTGTTTATTTGCGTGTTCTAGCTGACGGAGTGAACGAGCCGGAGAATGAGGACGTCGGAGGCAAGCACCGCGAGTTCGACCCCGAGTACCCGAACTACGAGCAGGAGTTTGCCGAGGACGCCAACAGAGGCAAGTCCAATCTATTCCTCTTTGATGCATATTGATCATATTTCTAAACACAACCTGTAAAAGCCGATTTAAATATTGCATGTACGATTATATGTACGAATTATTTTTGTTGCTTAGTTAAACCCATTTAAAAGGCCACCCTTGAATTGTTGGACTTTATCATCTTGCTCAAACTTAGGAATAAATATTACGATATGACAAAATATTGTTATTTAGTATGCTTAGGAGGTTGTTACACATCGTGGAAACTTATCACTATGATTTCTCAAATACAATGGTTTCAAATAAAACTGTGTGAGTTATGAGAATAAATTGTGCGTATTGTGAAAGTGTTAATGAACAAATTAGAAATAGTGATTACCCAAGAGATGGGACGGATCGGTGTTCCTTTTGTGGGATGTCGTGGTGTTGTGGCTTGTATCTTTTATGGTTAAGCATGAAGATATCCGCCTTGTCTCGATTAAGGACTGAGTTGATGATTCATCTTGCCTAAATCATTTTATCGTACAACTACTCGACCTTGTATGAGGTAAGGCTTAGCCTAAATCCCCCTAGTTGGTATGGCAATCACCTGGAGGCAGGTGTGCAACGAGACACTAAGATATGTATGTATGAAATGTAATGAGCTCTGTAAATTATTGTATTATGATGATGTGGCCTTAGTGTTCTGCGGTGAGCGCCAGTACTTAGCTATGGAGGGTAATGGCTCTGTTGGATCTGTGCTTATACGACAGTGTTAAGTTACGATATCCTGCTGGTGGTGAAAGTGTAAAACCTCTACAAAGTGTAAAATTTATCTGGATAGCCATGTCCACGGTCTTGGACGGGTTACGGTTTGGTTTCAACAACTAGATGGGTTGGGATGAGTGAAAACATGATTGAGCGTGATTTTGGAAATAAATGGTTGGCTGCCGTGTGCTGTGGGAACAGAGCGTTCAGCAACACTTAAAATTGTGACAAACCCCCTTTTCAGAAATACTCTTATATATGGAAAATAGTTGTATTTTGTATAAAGGTATTTATAAAATAAAACCCTGCATGTGTCAAAAAGTTATCTTTATGCAAATAAATGTAAATCTTATCCTTGATTTATCCATATGCATATAATGTTATCCCCTTTAGTAGGGCAATGTTGGATTTGCTGAGTACTTTATACTCACCCTTACTTTGTTGTACAGTTCGAGTAAGGTCGTGTCTGCACCCAGCTTAGCTTATGGCATGGGATCGCCAGATATTAGCGTGTTGATTTGTGTGGGTTTTTGGATCCATCTGTATCTTTATTTTGGCATGGTTTAAGTGCCGCTTCCGTTTGAACTAGAACTATGTGATGTAATAAATGTGCGTACTAGCCTTTTGGGACTAGTACTTTATCACATTTGAGTTTTCGGATAACCGGGGATGCTTCGTTAGCTTATCGATTTTTTACCAGATCTGATGTAATAAAATAACATGCAAGTTAAATTCATATAAAAATATCATATGATAATGTTATGTATATAAGAGCATCTCCAAGAGTTTGCTATCTCAACTTGGCATCCATATAATTTTGGCAAAACAAGAAAAAATAGCCTCCAACAGTTTGGCAAAACAACTTAGCATCAATAGCAACTTGGCAAATCTTCTCTCCGCGGCGCAAATATACGCGCGCGTATACGGCTTGGCATCCGGGGCTCTTCGTTTCTTAGTGGGGCTCTTCGTTCGCTTAGCGGGGCTCTTCGTTCGCTTAGCGGGTCTCTTTGTTTTGTTAACAGGTTTTTTTATTTTACCAAGTCAAAAATATCAAACTCTTGGAGATGGATTGTTTTTTTACTTGGCATATAATTTTGGGAGTTAGCAAATCACAAGTAAAATTTGACAAACCCTTGAAGATGCTCTAAATCCTACAGCAAAATTTTATTTTCGGTGGCAATATTACAAGGAACGCTATAACATTGCATTTGAATCCTGCTCGCCATTTGTAAATATAGCGGAAGAAAAAGGTACCCCTGTCGACGCTTGAGGTTGCAAGCCCGCAAAGCCCCCGCGCCGACCAACTACAAAACCCATAATTCCCCACTGCCTCGTCCCCCGTCCCCACTCACACATCCCAGGCCACAGTCCACACCGACCAAAACCCTCGCCACCGCGACGACAAATTCCGCCTCCGCTCCGTCGCTGGCGGCCGTGGAGCAGCGCCCGCGTCGCCATGGATGACATTGCTAAGATGCTAGTCCGCGGTTTGGATTTCTTTATGATGGACGGAAACATGCTCTGTTTGACGAAGACCGCCTTCACCAACCTGCCCCACCCGCCTGCCGCCACCGCCGCCCCCCTCTCCGGCTACGTCCCTGCGGGCGCCCTCGACGGGTTCGACCGCATCAGCTTCCTCCCCGGCGTGATCCTCCGCGACATCGTCTCCCGCCTCCCCGTCAAGGACGCCGCGCGCACTACAATCCTCTCCACGCGATGGCGCCGCGTCTGGCACACGACGCCGCTCGTCCTCGTCGACGCCCACCTCCTCCCCAGCGCCTCCATCGGGACCGGCTGCAGCCGCCTCGGCGCCGATCCGCGCGACATCTCCGATGCGGTGTCCACCGTCCTCGCCGCGCACCCAGGTCCCTTCCGCTGCGTCTACCTCACCGGCACCCCGATGGAGACGCATGCCGACGAGCTCGCGCTCTGGCTCCAGCACCTAGCCGCCAAGGGCGTCCAAGAACTCATTTTTCTCAGCTGCACAACAAATTTCGACTCTACCGTGCATCTCCCTGCCACGCTCTTTAGATGCACCTCCCTCACAAAACTCTACATCGGCTTCTGATGGTTTCCGCCGACCACCGCCTTCCCTCCCACCGTCGCATTCCCATGCCTCCGGGAGCTCGGTCTCTTCTCCTTCGTCATGACCGAACAGGACCTCGCCTTCGTGCTGAACAGATGCCCCGTCCTGGAGAAGCTCCTGATGACCGGATGCCGGTGGCCGGTTTGCCTCCGCACTCGGAGCCACAGCCTACGGTTGGTGGAGGTATGCCAGTGTATCGCACCAGAAATCACAGTGGTGAATGCTCCACGCCTGGAAAGGCTCTTGCTTTGGGAAGCTTGGGGTGGCGGCAGTCTCACCTACATGTCCTCCAAGATCAAGATTGGCCATGCTCCGAAGCTGCGCTTCCTGGGATTCTTGGTGCCTGGAATGCACCAACTGGAGATTGGGAACACCGCCATCAAGGTGGGAAGCATCATTTTCGTTTACTTCTTGTGAATGTGGTTTTCATTGTGAACCCTGGTGGTTATATGGCAATTTTTTTTAAGGAAAGGCTATAGGGCAATGTGTGATCTTAGTTTCTTCTTTCAATTCCATGCAACCTCAAATTGCATCAATTGCAGGCTGAGACAAAGGCAAGCCCAAACACCATTGTCCCAAGTGTCCAGATGCTGGCAGTTCAGGTGAAACTTGGAACCCGCATTGAAGCTAGGATGTTACCTAGTTTCCTCCGATGCTTTCCCAACGTCGAGACACTCTACGTCCAGGTAAAATTTTAACTGAATATATCCATGTGTCAGACGAGACTGCTAATCCATTACCTGTTATTACCTATGTGCTCTGATCTATCTAATTGCAGTCCGTAAACGATGACTTCAAATTCTGGGGACCTCAAGCAGCTGGCACTGGCAAACTAAATCTCAAGTTCTGGAAGGAGGCAGGTTTCATTGAATGTGTTCAGCGGCACATCAAGAAGGTGGTTCTCCGTGAGTTCCGAGGGACAAGAAGCGAGCTTGACTTCCTCAAGTTCATCGCCGAGCATGCACGAGTTCTTGAGAAGATGGTGATTGTGTTGACCCATGGACATTCCCCTTCAGATCCGGTCGCTACCAACCTGAGGACTAGAATGACTTCTGCAAAATGGGCCAATGCATGCTGTGAGCTGATGATTTTTAAGACTCCATTTGCTCAAGAAGGTACAACTTGGTGCTACCTATCAGCATTTAATCTTTCTAGCACAGACCCTTTTGATGTTTCAAAATGTCACGATGGGACATGTCAAAGTCATTAGTGGGTTGTTCCAGTATCCATATGCAAGGTACTGTTTCAGACTGCTTGCAGTGTGTTTTTGAGGATTATGAAGCTTTCTATACTCTGGTTTCAGTGACTCAAGTGTAGAACTTATTGATTAGCATCATTTGGCTTGCAGAAGATTTGTGTCCCTTATGTAATCTGTTTTCCGTTTTCAGTGATATTGCATTGGACACCTGCTAAATATTTTCTGATTGCTGATGGGAATATTTATGCTTCGCTTGCCATGTACCAATTTGTGTGTTCCTTAAAAAGAAATATTCCTTTTGGCATCAGATGGTACCTTTTGCAGTTCATTGTTCATGATTGATTAATCACACCCTTTGCATCAAGTCATCAATACAGCATAGGGTCTATTTGGTATGAAGGGCTGATAATGCCTATGCTCATCAAGATACAAAGGTGGTCATAGGCATTATCAGCCCTTCATAGTTCATACCAAATAGACCCTATGCTGTTGGCACAAACTATTACAGGTCCTTTCTACCCATGTCAAATTTGTTTTCTGTGTGTAATTATCATAAACTAGCTGCTTGTACAGGCTTTATTGGAACAAATAAGCTGGTGTGGACTGGCATATCTCTTTGGAAATCGGAACCACTTCAATTCTATTTGGTTGTGCCATGTCAATGTTGCTATATTACTGCAGTACTTGTGATTCCAGTTCCTTTTAAATTTTTTTTTGTAATGCTCCTATTAGGTCCTAATGATTCCACATAGTTGAAGTAGCTGATTCTGATTTCTGGAAGTTTATAAGTCAATTTATAGGGTTGCATATCTATGTTTTGATTTTCTTATGCCACTACCGGTTTCAATTGGATTTGCTTGTTATGTGTTCAGATTTTCAGCTCCTTACTGGTTATTACTAGTTTCCTCAAGAAGTTAAAAGATAAGTAGCTAGCTAGGGTTTCTGGTTATGATAAAACAAAATCTTTTTCGTTGGCATGTAGCCTTTTGTCATTGTTGTTAGGTTTGCATGTAGGCTGCACAAATCTTTATAGCAATAGAATAGACATACTGAATAATCCTAGATCCGATCGCATCAAAACAGATCTAGAGAAGACTTATGTCACAGTGGTGACTGCTGAGGAAGAAGCATCACTGCATCAGTAGGTGGTGGGATCAAGGAGATTTACTCCTAGTGTTAGATTTGTTTCTGATAGGGAAGAGGTAAACCGTTGGATTTGAATCCAACCAACTAAAAAAATCCCAGCATTGGCAAGCCAAATAACACGAGCGTCAATTAGACGGATTTGGGACAAACCTTTGTACTTCGTTAATATATATAGTTTTTTGATACAAAATTGATGTCATTAGTTTTATATTCAAAGATACTTAGTTGTGGTTGTAATTTTGCATCAATTAATAGAGTAATTCTTAACCGAAGTCTTTCCTACTGATATAAAATTTATACCTTGTAAAAAATATTAATTCTTAACCAAAGTCTTTCCTACCGATATGAAATTTATACGTTGTAAAAAAAGGAGTAATTTACAACTACGGGCTCTAATTATAATGCACGGGAATTCACGGAGCATCCTCAACAGACCGGTGATTGGATTATTGTCACTGCCCTCTATACACTTCCTGTCGACCTCAAAAGAAAAAAAAAACAATAACAAATCCTCATCCTATGCTTCTTCCAAAATCCTGAAATCTACAAAGAAGAGCCAGCTGTTGTTATGTACAAAGACTCAGCTCATGAAACTGTCACCCTGCGACGACTGCCCTTCATAGCCCAGCAGTGCAAACTTCACATGGATCCCGATCTTCCCTCCCTCCTTCACAAGCTTCGCCGCGATCACCAGCCAGTGGCCAGGGACATCGTGTGGCCCTTTTACCACCTCCGAAATGTCGACGAACTTGAGGAGCTTCCTGGACCGGAGCGGGACCGGCGGTCCATCTGGGTAGACACCTGAGTTCAGCTGCACCGGCTCGTGCTTCGCCTGCTGGTGGGTGTCACGCTGCGTGAAAGGGGAGCTCAGTGTTGTGCTGATCGTCGTCAGGAAGCTCCCCTTCTGAGACGATGCCGGAGCGTTCGTCCACTCGGTCCTCTGGATGGTGCAGTTGGGGATGTGGGTGTAAAGGAGGCGCAGATGCAGGACCTTCTTGGACCAGGTCCCCTTGGTGACGAGCTGGGCGCCAGTGACGATGAAGACTCCGCCGGGGGCTCTCTTGTGCCACTCTGGGTTGTACTTGATGGCGGAGGTGCAGACGCACGCGTAGTTCTTCCACTGGATGGCCTCGATGTACCCTGGGTCACTGTCTTCGGACTCGCGCCATTCTGACATTGAAGATGCCACGGAGTCCCCAATCATGCTTGGAACACTGGAGAGGTGCTGGACATGGATGGCCAACCGGTTGCACTTCCTGCCCTCCAGGTATAGCCGTAGGCCAACCACCGGTTTCTGAGAACTAGATACCTTGAAACAACAAAGGAGAGCAAAAACATGTAAGTAAATAGGTACAAGCTGTGTCTTTACTGAAAGAAGTGATTCTCCCAGAGGAGAATGGCAATTAAATGAAACTCCTGTGAGTCCAAACTGTCAACAATTTACCATCTTATTTCAATCCTCAGAGAGACAGAGACTAAACTTACCATTTGGCAACATAAATAAAAGGTGAATGAATGAATAAAACAATGCGTTTAAATCTAAAACGCAAATTAACATTCTGGTACCTGAGAAGTGCTGACATGGAGTTTGGGGCCGAGTAATCTGAACTGCATTGAAGGGTAGGAGCCTTTTCTCTTTTGGGGCCCAAGGACAAGCTCGTTGAACATAGGTGCCCATTGTAGAGGAACTTGAAACTCCAAGAAATATTGCAAGTCTTGAAGATCAGGTTTATCTGGGAAAACAAACATTATAAGATTTTACTCAGTAAATAACATTCTAAGCAGGGTATTCTATTGGCAAGTAAAATGCAGTTGTTCTAAAAAGAGTAATACAATAACAGTTTTTAAAAAGACTTGTTCTCAAGACTTACAGCGAAGATATAGATTGATAGCATGGCTGAGGTAACCACTACCAGGAATACCAGTTAGAAGAGAGGTGATGGGGACAAATTTGAACATAATGGCATCGGGTTTCTTTGCCACTGTTTGCAGCCATTTGGAGTGGTTGGGTAGGTATGCTTCTCCTCCCCTCTTCGAACATGTAATTGTCAGGCCCTGTTTGGAATAGTGGCACATAATTTTTGTCACCATATCAAGAGACAGCTAAAATTGACACTAAGTTATATAAGAAGATACATACATCCTTGGTTGATGCTTCAGAATAGCTAGAAAGGTGCAGGTTATTAGAGTGTTGCACTATCCTGACAAAAACATCAGGCACCTGTAATAAAAATGGATCAGATTAGCTAAATTTTGGTCCAATATATGAGAACACAATCTGAAGACAGAAATATATTTGTACCTTGCTCTTGCCATCCTTTGTCTTGCGATGTATTGGGGAGTGGTTCTTCCCATCAGAAAATAAGAAATCACCAAGGTCCTCCAGATGCAACTTAAGATCAGCAGTTGAAACGGTTGAGGAATGACTTTGTTTAACACATATGACGTCCTGACCTCCGATTCCCATTTCAACAATTATGTGTGTCCCATAAGTCTTGATAAACCTGATATTCACAAGATTAGCAGGTTTTATACCAAAACAACAGTTTGATGTATTTATGGTGGTTTGGGAAGTTTATTGCCAGGTAAGTTCATCTTTTTTAGACCAAATAAAGTTAAATGTTTGAGAAAATTAGAAAGTTCTGAAAAAGAATCCCTGGTTTATAGTTCCCAGGTCAAGAACTGCAATATTGCAGACGAGTATATATAAGACTCGTGGTTGGTGTTAACAAAACCATAACAAAGAAACGTGGCAAACTAGAAATTTAGAAAATCCAAACTGAAACTATTTGTAAGCGAGTCTCCAGAATGTAGCAATTGGTTACTTGTAGATGGCATTTTTCATTCGTTAATTAATGCCTTCTATTTATAGAGAAAAATAAAAAGCTTTATGGATGACTAGGAGCCCAGGAATGAAGTAAAGAACAACATATAACGGATATAAAAATACACCATGGCAAATAAAATGACAGGTCAAATCTCAGAGAGCACGATAAGAACATAAAGAAATCATATCGTTTGAATGCTGGTGGTGATTGTGAGGAGCCGTTTCTTTCTCTATATAATACAAAGATACGAAGCTCTCCTTCGTATTCGAGAAAAAAATATATCATTTGAATGCATCAGACAAGAAGAAATGAATTATGAGTAACAGGGCTAACATAGTGTCTTACCATGATAATGCAACAGGATCCCACTTGGATGGAACAGCCTTTTTTACTTCATCTCGAAGAACTAATGGAGAAGCCTTTAGGTGCAAGTTGTACAAAGAAATGAAATATCCGTCGAATGCTAGATGCTTGGTCTCTTTGGCATCTGTCAACCAAGCTCCACTTAATTCAAAGAGAGCGTTAAAATAGCCTGACGGAACTTTCCCTTGGACTGAAGATTTCTGATTAAGCAATTCTGACATCTGATCAAGAAATTTTAAATGTGGTCAGAATAATCTGTAAACATTTGCAGATAGAGTTCAACAACTGTAGTCATCGGACTTCATAGTCAAACTTTCTTTAGTCGCCGATTAACCCTTCTAGTAACTTGGATCAATTCTACTGGCATATTACTAGAAAGTAAATTTCGAGTGAAGAAATAAAGAAACAGTGGCTTTTAACCATGATATAAATAAGGAACACCCACCTCCAAAAAGTGAAAGGAGCAGATTTTTAATGTTACAACCCAAAATACTAAACTATTTTTAGAAGGGAAAACAGAAAAAGAAACACCAAGCTAGCATAAAAAGGGTACACTGAACGGTACTCCCTCTATCCATAAAAGAATGCAATTCTCAAATTCCGATGAGTCAAACAATACAAACTTTGACTAGAATTATATAAAGAAATACTAACACTCATGAAACAAAATAAGTATCATTAGATTAGTTATAGAATTTATTTTCATAATAAATTTATTTGGAGATATAAATGTTAACATTATTTTCTATAAACTTGGTCAAACTTGAACTAGTTTGACCAGCATGCTTCCCATAATTGTGTTTTTTTCTGGACAGAGGGAGTACCAAACACAGCCATACTCGGGAGTTTGAATTTATCAGAAACAGGGCAATATCAAATGTTAAAGTGTTAAGCAGAGAGATGGTAACCTAGTCGTGGTCTTGACTCGTAAGCGAATGATACAAGCCTACCATGTGAATTGTACTTAAACCAAGCTGTCAAGTAAAGCTACTTTCCACCTTGAAAAGCAGGAAGGTTCTACACATTTAACAGGCCACATGGCCCAATGACATGCTGCAGTCGTGCACCGGAAATACATGAAAAATAGTTTTGTCCAAAACCACCTCCAAAAGTCCCACAATGTTTTGTCATAGACTCGCAGTGTATACCATCTTCCATGATAGCGACTAGCTTTTCCTCTGCCACGGGGTTACACATCATTTGCTATCTTGCTACACTTCAGTTAGAATGGAAGGCCAACGGCACACAGTTGTACTAGCAGCCCTGAAAGGCTGAAATCCACCGGAAACTACTACTAGTCTGAATGTCGCAAGAGTCCTAATCGCACATCAGCATGATGTAAGGTGGTGTTTGATTGTTTCCCATCAAATATTTAGACACATGGAGTATTAAATATAGACTAATTATGAAACTAATTGTATAGTTTACGACTAATTTGCGAGACGAATCTTTTAAGTCTAATTAGTCCATGATTTGACAATGTGGTGCTACAGAAAATAAATGCTAATGACGGATTAATTAGGCTTAAAAAAATTCATCTCGTAGAGTACTGACGGATTATATAATTTGTTTTTTTTTTGTTAGTATCCAAACACTCTATGCAACATCCTCCCGACACCTCCTAAATTTTAAATTTTAGTCATAGGATCAAACACCACCTACCGCACACCGAACCGAATCGCTGAAGGATTTGCACGGAACTTAATTGCTGCCTGCCAGATCGAGGAGCCATGACGAAGGCAGGCAATATCCCCAGCCGATACAGGTGGCCGCCAAACTCCGGTAGGCCGTAGGCATCAAGCACGCAGCAAAAGGGATCAGCAGGATCATTCCAGGACGCCAGACATTCCCCGGCGTTAATGAATGGAAGGCCGTGGCAGCTCCATCCTGATGCTCCGCCGCAGCGCAGTAAAGTTACGCGGTTGGTACTAACTAGTACGTACAGTCAGTGGCGGAGCTGGTGAATTTTGACGCCTAGGGCCACTATCTAAGTGAGTGAATCACCAGCATCGGTTTTACAGGCTTACCGGCTTAGATACTCTATAGATAAGAAAAGCAACAAAGAAAATGCATAATCAACAAAAAAAAACTGGATATAAAAGTAGCGAAGGATATACATGCGTTTCCATCTTTATGAATCAAGAGATCTGCAATGTACATCATTGATTCATCCAATCTTAATAAAATATACAAATGATGCCATCTGCTATGTCAGATGCATACATGAACACACCAATGGAATTTGGGTTGATCTAGATTGGGTGGATGGATGTTTACATTGGTTGAGAGGAGGGCGCCACCTCTTGCTGGTCCGACGACCACCAGGCCATAGCAAGACGTGCATGCTATGGACACAGGCGCTGCGCGGCTCAACCACTAGGCGCCGTCACGGCTTCGCCTCGCTCCGGCCTTCGGGAGGGGGCTGCCGGCTGTGTGCCGCCACGACGGACAACTGCTAGTCATGCGCTAGGGGTTTGGACATTAGTGAGTGCGGAGCGCCTAGTGAGAGGCAGCGTGCGAGAAGAAAGCTGAGCGCTAGGGAAAGGGCCGGCGTACAGCGAAGCAGGATGCCCCAGGCGCGAGGCTGAGCTGGGCAAAACTGGGCCGCACAACCATGGGCTGCGAGCTTGGGCCAGGAGAATTTAAGAGGGACATAAGAGGTTTTCTGAGCCACGCCTAGGGCCGTGGCCCTAGCCCAATATCCGCCCCTGCGTACAGTACTATCGAATTTGTGCCCCCACGCAAAAGAAAAGAAGAAGGTGTCGCTTCTACAACTTGTTGATAATGATGATGATTGAACTTTAAGCACAGGACTTAGATTGGTTGACTGACATATTTTGCGAGCGAGAAAGATAATTGACATACCGCGTTATTTTTTTTTTAAAAAAATAAAAGAATAAAAGAGTTGAAAGGCAAATAGAATTTTTGACGCCCAAATCAAATGGGTAAATTTTGAAGCAACCAGCGACAAGAAATGCGGCCCCGTTCCCAAAATCTGGCAAAGCCAAAGAGGAGGGTGAATTCGACACGCCGTCTCCAATCAACCATGAGCTGTTGATTCGGTCGCGATGTTGCGGACGCAACGAAAACCAACAACAAAGGCATGATGAATCCAACCCCATCCGATCCCTCACCTCAAATCCCCAACCAATCACGGCGTCACAACAGCAACCCGCGGGATAAAACAGGGCAGCCAGCCAGGTCCGTCCGACTCCGATCACGCGGCGCGCTGGAAGTGGAAGTGGAAGTGGAAGCAGGAGGAAGGAGGAGGAAACCGCGGCGGGCGTGGTAAGCGCACCTGGTTGAACTCGAGGACGTCGGAGCGGAAGCGGATGCGGTCGCCCTTGTCGACGCCGACGTCGCGCGGCACCCCGCGGAGCGTGGTCCCGCCGCCGCCCGGGAGCGGCACGTCCCTCGTCTCGTCGCCGAGCTCCACCAGGCGCCGGCCCTCGCTGGCCTTGGCGAACCGCAGGCGGAAGTCGGACGTGAGGTCGAAGCCGGCGCCGAGCGCCCGCACCACCTCGTCAGCCACTTCCATAACTGCTGCACAGGCACGCGCCTCCTCTCCCTGCTCTCCTCCTCCTCCTCCTCTATCTAGGCAAGATGAGAAGAGGCAGCTACGGCCTACGGACGATGATGTGAAGCAGCACCCAACCACCGCCGAAGCGCAACATGTCTCTCTCTCCTCAATTCAACGGAAGAGGGAGGGAGAGAAGAAGATGACGAGGGAAGGTTTGACTATGGAAAGGTCGGACGGGGCGGGGTTTGGTGGGAATGCGGCACGTGGGGCCCGCAAGGGTAGGAGGGAAGGCAAGAGAAGAATGCCGCAACGCTATTGCCAGTGCCACAGCTCACAGCCCACAGCCCACAGTGGTCGCCCGGTCGGACACGAAATAAAAACAAACGAGCGGGGCGGGATGGATCGGATCGGAGGATTGGCAGCAAACAAACGCGGACGGGGTGGTTTTTGCCGCCGCAACCGCGCGGTCACGGTCCCTCTCCCTCCCGCGGCTCGGCTCGGCTACGGACCTACGGTCCACCGCGAGGAGGATGGTCACCTCGCCTGTTGCTTGGACCTTGGGGCTGCAACAAGCTCAAGCTGTGCAATAAAGCCCATACCATGTATAGGCTACAAAAGTATGTTGTAACTTTTTCTCATTTTGCTCTATGTATATATCGTCTGTCTATCATGGTTACAAGAATCTTTGTGCACCAAGAATCATGGAATGGTTGCAATAAGCATCACTTTCCAACTTCCATTCCAATAATTGCAATAGTATGGTTGCTATAAGAAAATAAAAGCACAGTGTGTAATTACATGAATACGACACCTCTTTTTAGGTCTATTTAAATACTCCATCTGCCCTGATAAATCAATTCTTAGAGTCGTCTTAAGTTAAACTTTTTTTTTTATATTTGACTGAATTTATAGAAAAAGATCATTAAGATTTATAACACCAAATTAGTATCATTAGATACACCATAAACTATATTTCGATGATGTGCTTATTTGGTGTCACAAACATTTGTCCTTTTTTATATAATCAACACTATTAATTGATACCAAATTATAATCAAACTATTAATTGTCACAAATATTCGTCAAGTCTTGGGCCCTAATTAGACACCAAATTAGACTGAAGCAAGTCGCCAATAGTAGATATAATTTGGTCAAAGTATTGGAGTTAATAGTGTTGATTATTCTTACTCAATGATTAGCCCCTATCCTCCTAATGAGTATTTTAGCCCCTCAAGAGTAGACTTTTTCAACAAAAGAAAGAGTGATAATATATTTCAACTTGACAATCAGATCATTGGGATAGAAACTCCTATAATATTTTTTTAGAATAAGGACTACAACATTTCGGCCTTCAATTCACAAGTGAATGAGTATGGCCGTGTAAAATAGACACATGGTACTTAGACCACACTCTGGCATACGGTGATACAAATATAAGACATAAATCAAAGAAACGAGACTCTGATCCTTATCCTATTCCGACAACACGATCTAAACTTGCTAAAGAAAGCCAACTCCATGGCATCATCAAGTGACTATATTCCACTAGTAAAGACATCATGTAATGAAACTTGCACAAACTCAAATATTGATAGGGAAGAACTCTAGCAAGCACCCCATCTTGCTCATCCAAACTGATAAAAGATAGGTCCTCGCTCGGACCTCCTAGTACCGACTAGCAGGCCCAGAGATGATAGATGCATAGCGCTGAGTACAACCGGCAAAAGTCCTTAAGCCCAAGAGAACTCTGTGCCTCCTGACCAGCCACATCTATTGGCACGACTGCTACTACCGCCCGAGGGTTGAGATTACTTGTCTCGCTGTGTGAAGAACGACCTCTAAAGCGACACCTCAAAGGAGTAACAATGAGAGTCGGTGTAACACCTCGGTGCTAAGCATGCATTAACATTTTGCAAATCATGATCATAATCATTATTATGCATTCATAAGCATGACATGAAATATAGAATTGAAATATATTAATGAAACAGGTATGTGTATAGTCTTGTTTTAATAGATTGGATGCTATGTTTGTTTTGCCATGTGTGTACCTTGGTTGATCACCTAGACAACATAGAAGTAATTAGAATGCATTTTGGAGCAAAGTTTATATTCAAAATTTTGCCAAATTACGCTTTTAAAAATAATTCTTCAAAAATTGGGTTTTGAATTATTATTGATTTTTATTTGTAATTCAAAATCTACTTGGAGTTTGATTTTGGTCATAAAAGCAAAGTTGTAGATCTCGAAAAATGGAGCAACTTTCATTTTTGCACCAAATCTTGAAAATGATTTTTGTTGCTCAAAATGATGAATTTGGGGCTGTTTGAATTTAGATTTTAAAAAGAAAATCGTTTCATTTCCTTAGCGGTCGCCTTCGCTCGCTTCTCGCCCACGGCCAAAGCTAAGCTCGGCTTTGCCTCCGCCGCCCTTCGCTCGCCCGCCTGCCCTCCTCTGCCCAAAGAAGGCCAGCGGCCTAGGCCCACGCCACGGCCGCTCCTGCCGCGCGCCGCCTTCGCCTTTGCCGGTCACCACCGTGGCGCCGTACACCGGCGGCGAGGGGTGCTACTTCGACCGGCCAGTGTGCTCGCCTTCAAAAGTCTGTCAACGAGCGACGCCGCCTCCACCCCGCACGCCATCTGTCTCTCCTCCTCCTTTCTCTCAGTTCATAGCTCATGGAGCTCTCGCCTGAAGCGCCGCTGCTGCCCCATTGGTAGCGTGCCCGCGATTTCCGCCCGCCAGCAGCTCCGCCTTGGGTCCTCGCCGCTTGCGCTTCGCTTTCATTGCTGTCGTCGAGGTAAGGGCGAGCTTGGCTGCCCCTTTCTCTCCGGCGAAAGCGCGTTGCATGTCGCGGGCAAATCACGCGCGTGGGCCAACTCCACCCTTCCGGTCGGTGCGGCTCGGCGTGGGTGCGTGTGCTGCACCACCGCCGCCACGCCACAGAAGAAGAGCTTCGCCACGGTGAGCACCGGTCGGTGGGGCTCCTCTCCTTGCTCTCGGGTCATCGACCCGTGGGGCGCGAGGCCCACCCGCGATGGCGGTGGAAGTTCAGGTGCCTGACACGGGTGCACCAGCGTTTTTGCGCCCGCTGATTTTCGTTTTGAAAAAAAAAGATTTCTGGAAAATGCTTTTAAAGGATTCTAAAATACATAGTTGCTGCTGTGGTGCCTCAATTTTGGTGAAACAAATTTCTTTGTGTTTCTTATTCTTAGATCTACAATATAAAAATGTTGCATGTCAATTTTGGGATACATTTATGTAGAGCTTTATTTAATTCTTGATATTGCTGATATCTTATAAAATGGTTAGTAAATCCTATATGTTTCAGAAAAATATGCTTCCAAGTGTGTTATTCTTCTTGTGTAATGTACTTCCTAGGAAAAATATATGCCATGCATGTTCTGTAGAAAAATTATGAGGTGTAGTTCAAGTGCCTTTAATGGCTGATTTTTGTTATTTTTGCTAGAGAGCAAAATTTGTATAAAACATGCATGTGATAATTTTTGTACAGTGATTATTTGCTATGTAGAACATAGGAAAAATATTACATCTGTTGTTTGACACTTTTCACACTACAAAGTATTTTCATGTTCATAATTATGCCATAGCTTGTCATTTTTGTGTAGGCTATTCCACTTATCTGAATGCCATAAAAATTTAATGGTAGACTACTTAGGGTAGTACTGTGCTATGATAATTTTCTAAGATTTTTCTAAGCTATAAAAATAGATGTTGCTATTCAAACCTATTATTAATTAGGGTTTAATCAAATGTTGCTTTATGCATGATTAAGAAATTAGTGAAGCTTTGGTGTATCTTTGAAGCATTTAATGAGATGTGTTGACTTAGCATATTAGTAGTAGAAGAGAATGCAGTAGATGACATGTGCTTGTAGTACATGTTCTTGGATGATGTTGACTACCGTGCATTCAAGCATATCCATTGTGCTCATTTCATCCGATGCACCTTTTGCATAAGCACTTACGCACATGCATCATCTGAGGATCGTAAACCGAGAGCCCGGTCGTCATACCCGAGGAGCCCAAGAAGCAGCTCGAGGTGCAGCCGCCAGGGAAGTGACCAAAGCGGAGCGAGAGGAGGGCGTTGAGGAACTTCCGAGTGTCCCGATCACCGCTTCGAGCTCCTTCGAGAGAGGCAAGCCCGGAGAATTTTTCTCCCGGTTTGCAATTATTAATTAAATGCTTTACTTTAATTGATGCATTACGTTCAGGAGTTGTTTGCAACCGTTCTTTGCATTATACCTTATCTACCTTTGTTATACTATATCCCTTGTTACCCGGTATCCACAAGTCAAGTCAATGCTTAGTTGGCTTAGACCGGTAGAAGTCGGGTGATTTCTGTCACTGCGAGCTATAGGTGGTTACCTGGATCTGGTTGGATAACTATATAGTCATGGTATAACTAAGTGTTAAATGAAGTTGAGACCGGACGGAGACTTACAGAGTTTTGGACTGTAGTGCTTTCCGTCTGTGTCGATTAAGGACCGACCGTTGTTGGGCCTCAGGTCATATTGAACGCATGCCTTACATTTAGCTGGCCGAATAAAGTACCTTTCGACCGCGAAGCTAGGAGATTATTCAGGCCGAGTAGATTTCCTGCAGCGCACTATGCTAGAGCAGGTGTGGTAGGACACGGCGGCGTGAAGATAAGTCCAAAGAGCAGTCGGTCGGCCCCCGGGTACATGTGGTTCCTGGCAAACTCGAGATTCCTCGATAGTTGACTTGGTGACCAATACCTCACTTTAGCGGGTGTCGACAGAATATCATCGGCAGTCCACCGAGGGGTATCCCGCGATGGTAGATTGACCGGCAGAGGAGCGTGTAATCAAGAACAAGAAGGTAACAGAGACACACGAGTTATACAGGTTCAGGCCATCAGTATGACGTAATACCTTACTACTGTGGTCTGTTAGTTTGTATTAGCTATCGTATGATTTGCCATGATTTTGTAGGGGGTCCCTGCCCGCCTTATATAGTCCGGGGGCAGGGTTACAAGTT